CTCATCTCTCACCTATTTAGAATTAGAAAGCATTCCACTCCTCAAATCATTGCCAGAACTCCCTCCCTCTTTGTATGCTCTGTATATAAAGAGTCTTGATAACCTACAGTGCCTGCCATCTTCTTTGTCTGCCATCTCATCCCTCACCTATTTAGAATTAGAAAGCATTCCACTCCTCAAATCATTGCCAGAACTCCCTCCCTCTTTGTTTCGTCTGTATATAAAGAGTCTTGATAACCTACAGTGCCTGCCATCTTCTTTGTCTGCCATCTCATCCCTCACCTATTTAGAATTAGAAAGCATTCCACTCCTCAAATCATTGCCAGAACTCCCTCCCTCGTTGTATGCTCTGTATATAAAGAGTCTTGATAACCTAGAGTGCCTGCCATCTTCTTTGTCTGCCATCTCATCCCTCAAGGAGCTTCATTTAGAGAGCATTCCACTCAAATCATTGCCAGACCTCCCTTCCTCCTCGTGCTCAATAATAGTAGCAAATTGTGATCCAGAGTTGATGAAGCGTTATTAACAAATATTGAGGGCACAAGATTGCATACGTTCCTGATGTCAGTATTAATTTTATTCAAGTGTTGTGTTTGTAATTATCGATTTACTCCACAAATAATTATTTATTTTTATTTATATTTTATTTGAATCATAATTTATTTGATAAGTTAAAATAAACAATAATTTTTTTCAAAACACTCATGAAAAAAACTTTTGATTGATTTTCAAAACATGTAAATTTATTTTAAAAATTAAAAATAAATTTAAAAGTATGCTAAACAGATTTATTTTAAAAATAAAATAATAAAAATGATTTCCATAAAGCTCGAAATTATATGATTTCTAGTTAATGAAAAATTGCATGATACAAATTACAAATTGATCGCATTGACATGCATATAACATCTAGTTTACGAATGGAATGAGTGGGTCAATGGAATGTTGGAATTTAATGCACATTGAAAAGTAAGATTTACAAGCATGCCACTCAATTTCTATGTATTTGCTTATCTAGCACCTAAACTTCAATTTTTAAGTACATAGCACCTTATGCCTGAAAATGTGTATTTCACCATTTTAAAGTTAAAATGGTGATTTTTGCTATGTGATATGAATAATTTGGGTGGTATAAATGTAAAAAAGTAAATTTTTGATATTATATATGTAAATGCATATGAATTGGGTATGCAAATACACCTATTAAGAAAAGGTGAAAACTTATGGGGAATTTAAAGTTAAAGATAATATTTTGATGGTTAATATCATGTTGGACTTTCTGTGTTACGACAAAAAATAGGCAGAAGTGGGGTCGTGTATTTATTTAATGAATGAAAAAAAGGTGTTGGAGTCATCAAGAATTTATAGTGTACATGACGTGATTGTTTGCACTCTCAAGAACACGTGGGGGACCTCAGAGAGAGGTTATACTAGAATTTTAGAAGTTGAGACAAAATTTTAATGAGTTTTGTTGTGTGGTAGAATATTTATAACAGTGTTTATGTCAGTACATAGATGTTAATGTTTTAATTTTATACAAAGATCTAGAAAACATATATGTAAGGAATTTCAAAAGAGACATTAACAATTTTACTTGAAAATTTTGAAAGAAAAAGAGTGTAAATTCAATTGAAATGATCCACTATATGCATGGTGCTCCTGAAGTCTTCTCTTCCCTGTTATTGGAAATATATGATAACAAAGTGGAAAAAACTTATTCGTTCTCTCGTGTCTATAAAGATTACTAAAAGGTGATGATCAGAATAGCGCCAAAATCTTAAAACATTCCATTAAAAGAACCATGTTGTTTCTTTTAATTCATAACCTCAAATTATATGGTATTGTTGAATACTAGTTTGTCTAATGAATCACACTCAAAGAATAGAAAGTAAAACATAAAAAAGAGAGAAAAAAAGAGAGATGGGTGCTCTAATAAATATTATAATGAGAGAATTGTGTAACAGTTAATTGAAATGTTCATAACGTTAAATGAAGCATAAATGTTACTTCAACTCTCGTGCCACCTTTTATCTTTAAAAAGGGGATCATTTCCCTATTTTAAATTAAGCTTATAAACTTTTCAATCACACTTAAATTACTTAATTTGGGATAATTTAACCTAAAATATACTTAATTTCGGCTCATTTAGATTAAAATTTATTAATTTTTTGTGTCTTTTGGATTGTCTCATCAAGAGAGTTTGCTCGACAATAAATTTGTTGAAATTAGAATTAAGACGAACAAAATTTCACTAAGTTTTTACTTGAGTGAAAGAATTTCTTCGTGAGAAATAATTTGTTCTCGTCTTTTTGGATGATGATGTCTTTATTGTATTATTTATATCTTCAAAAAATACAATGCAAACTATAAATTAAAATAATTATGATGTGAGATGTCAACATGAACCTCACCTCAGAGTCAGTGAATCAAGTAAATTCTCCTCAACTGTAATATCGCCTTTCCACATCAATCAAAGCAAAAATTGTCAAAAAATTTTTGTTTTAAACTCTTCAAAAATGCTTGAGACTAGTTGTTGAAACTATATTGAGCTCCAAGAGTTTCAAAGTTAAGTTCAGAACATCAAAAAATGATTTTAAGAACCCAAAAAATATTGGGATCGATTTGTTTGGGCTCAAAATCAAACCCTGAGTGGGTTGAGCTAGCTAACCAACTCATTTTTTAAGGCTATGAAAATGCAATCAGAACAATAGATGATTCTTTTTTTTTCATTTTTCAAGCATAAGAACATTTTAAAAAATTAAATAAATTATTTCAATGGAAAGAAAACTATTAAAAATAATTTTAAAAAAGTGCAAATTATTTAAACATTAAGCAAATTTTATAGATATGTATCATCATTTTCAAGTATAACTAACCCCATGGGTAAGGTGAACATTTACATCTCTTAAATTTCTCTTGTTCGGCTCTAGTTCTTACTCTTACAAGAGATTCACCGCTCACCAATAGATTATGCATAATTCTCCATTTATAAGATTTAGTACTCATCTATATAAAGGCTTGATCCTATCGAAATTAGGCAGTGAGTAAAACATTGGATCAAACCCTAATGTGCCCTATTTTGACCTAAAAATTGAATGGAACCTTAGACAAACCTGATTTGACCCTATGGTCACCACATTGACCATTTGGTCAACCTTGGACCCTATGACTATTTATATGAGGTCATTTTAGTTCCGTAGTCTATAAAAAAAATGTTAAATTAGTCCTCAAACTCTTTTTAAATTGAGTCTGAAATAATCCTCCGAGCGAACTATTTCAGTTTATATTAAAGGGGCATTTACACACAATTCTTATGTATTTATATCTCACACCTAAACTCTCATCTTTACACGCATAACACCAAATCTTTATAATCACATAAAAACTATTACCACTTTTTTAAAGTTAAATATATATTTTCATGCATATATTTAAAGCAACAAATTGATATTTATGAATTTAGGTGTGAGATACGTAAACACATAAGAATTGTGTGCTACATTTGTAAGTTTCTATATATTAAAAGATTTAATTTCTAAATTAACACTTTTATAGACTTTGAGACTAAAGTGACCTCCTGCAGTGAGTCAGGGGATTATTGTGACACTTCTCTTTCTAAAATCATTGATGTACCCGCAAAATCCTCCGCATAGAGAATGTTAACTCGATCATGCTTGATTGATTATGTGCAGGTTCTCGAGAAATGCCGGCTTGGTTGCTTCGGGCGTCGCGAGGAATCTGAACCGGGCGGGCATCTACATCAAAGAAACCTTTGATGATATACTATATCCGTACCGCCGCCGGCCGCCGAAGTAGAACCTTTTGAAGCAGAGCAGCATCAGTTGGGCTCTTGATTCCTTTTGATTGTCGCGCTCTTTTATTTCTAGTTCCCTAAGTTACAAACTTGAATAACATAATTTTTCATTTTAATGTTTCCTGTCAATAGAGGGGGAGTATAGAGCAATGCTGATGTTTATTTGATGGGGGGCATTTACATACATACCACCCAATTCTTATGTATCTACTTATCAAATACATAAACTTTGCAAATTTAATGATGCCAAAATTAAATTTCTTCAAATATTAATTAAAGAATTAAATTATTTTTAATTTGGGCTTTTTACATACATAACACTGAAGATTTTGGGGTTATTTACAAGCATCATGTGAAAGTAGTACTTATTATGACCTTTTAATAGTCAAATACTTTTGATATGTTAACACATCATAAAACTTCACATTACTTATTGTTGGTGCTACGTAACATCAAATGTCAAGTTTAATTAGGCTTTTTCAATTAAATAATAGTAATAATAATACAAATAACAAATTATAATATGTAGAGTGATGGTAGCTTTTGGGGTTAGCAATGGCAAGCAATAAGCTTCACGAAGGTTGTAATTAAAAATATCATTAATGAAATTTTATGGCTATAACTATGAAAAAAAATAATTAGTTAGCCAACGACTTCAGACTTTGTTGGCGTTATTGAAATTAGATGGCTATATAATTTGTAAGAAAAAGATTTTGATGCTGACTGAGTTAAAATTGCTAACATATAAAATGTATATATTTGTTGTGTGTTGATAAATTCGGGGCGGTAGAGTGATTTACTGACATCTTAATGTTGTACGAAGATCCAACAAACACACAAGTAAAAAAAGAAATCGACAAAAAAGAAGAACAATGTTTTTATTTGGAAGAGTCAAAATGACAAAAATCACGAGGTCTGACTCAATTGAAACGATTTCATTATGTTGATGTAGGTTACAAAATAATTTGTTGAAATTAGAATTAAGACGAACAAAATTTTAATTTTATACATTTTCAACTCAAAAATTTCACTAAGTTTTTACTTGACTGAAAGAATTTCTCTCTTCCTTAATTTACTTGACTAAAATATACTTAATTTTCAACTCAAATATTTTCCCGTCCTCCTGACCCTCCTCTTCGCTTCCTCTCTTCCACCGTCTCTCCTCCTCTTAACCTTGATTTGTGCCATGGCAGACTTGTTTGTTGGCAAGATCTTGGATAATTTTGTTATGCAGTGGTTGAGGAAGCCAACAAATGAAAATCCAACTCATGTTGCTAGCCCTACTCTGTACAAAAACATTTCTCTTCTATCCATAGTGGGTCATGGTGGCATGGGCAAGACAACTCTCTTACAACACATCTATGAAGATCTGAAAGAAGAATTTGAACTGAAAATGTGGGTTTGTGTTTCCAACGACTTTGATGCAAAAAAGGTGATTGCCAATATGTTGGAATGTCTTAACAAGGAGAGGCCTCATTTGGAGTCACTCGCTGCTGTTCAAGAGAGTCTTAAAGTTGTCGTGCAATCTAAAAGGTTCTTGCTTGTTCTAGATGACATTTGGGAAGAAGATATGGGCAAATGGGAGAATGTACTCTGCCCTCTAGTTTACGGAGGCTTGGGAAGTAAAATTTTGTTGACTACCCGGTTGGATACAGTTGCATCGGCGATTGCACGCGTTATTAGTAAGGATAAAGAAATTTATCCATTAAATGGCTTAGAGGAAGATGTGTGTTTGAAGCTACTCAACAACCATGCATTTGCTGGTGTAAAGAACCTTGGTGCTCATACAAAGTTAACAGACATTGCTAGTTCGATAGTTAAAAAGCTTTCAGGCTCTCCATTAGCCGCAAAGGTCATTGGTGGTGTTCTCAATTCTAAATTGAATGAGAGCTTTTGGTTGAAAGTTTTAGAAAGTAATGTTGTAATAGTAGAACCAGAACCGAGTCGCAATAACATTTTGCTTATCTTAAAATTGAGTTTTACATTTCTCCCACAACCTCTACAAAATTGCTTTGCATTTTGTGGCGTATTCCCACAAGATCATGAGTTTAATAAAGATGATTTGGTTCGAATATGGATTGCATTGGGTTTCATTCAGGAATCTTCAATTGAAGGAGAGACTTTGGAAGATATTGGAGGAAGGTATTTTGATGTTTTGGTCAGAAAATCTTTCTTTGATGAGTTTCACGATTATAAGAGAATATACTATAAGATGCATGATTTATTACATGATTTGGCAGAGTCTATTTCTTCAGAGGAATGTTTCGGATTTGTGGGAGATGATGTTCTGTCTTTTAAACTTCCTAAAAATGTTCGACACTTATTTGTTAAAACCGAAAATCCAGAAGTGTTGAGAATGATCATAGATGTTAAAAATCTACATTCTCTTTTTTTGACAGTTGATTATCAAGATTTAACTGAAATACTTATTGAGATTTTTGGAGCATCGAGAAGGATTCGTTTGTTGTTCATATGCTCTCGAAGGACGAAAAAAATTTCTGAGGCTATTAAAAATTTGAGACATCTTCGATATTTGAATCATGATGGATATCTCACTCAGATGCCAAGATCTCTAAGCAGTCTTTATCATTTGCAGTTCATAATCTGTAGAAATCGTGGAGTCCCCTCTGAAGTTCTCTTACCATACGATGTGAGTAATCTTTCTAACCTGCGTCGCTTGGAATTGCACCATAAAGTATTTTCTAGTGTACCTGGAATTGGGAAATTAAGATCACTTCAAGAACTAAATGAGTTTAATGTTAAGAATGAGAATGGTTATAGAATTGGGGAGTTGGAACATATGAGC